AAACCCATGAACTTGATCATGATGAAACTGAACCAGAAACTAAATTCCAATCCTTGTTGGCTTGTACTGCTCAGCTGTGCACTAAAAACATTTAACATGTCATCAGATGGCACTCCAAGTGAGAGAGTGGTGGACTCCACACAATACATGATATACATTTAGGCAAATTCTATGCGCATGGTACAGTAGCACTCACGGATGCTCCTTAGTGCTAAAAGAAAAAAACAAACACCCCATATAAATACTCACCTGTCACAACACGAGAAATTATTATTTGATACTTAATATATTTATATTATAATAAATTTATATTTAAAAATATAAGTTGATTGTTCACTTGTATTATAACACGGATGTGATAGAATTTTTTTTCATAACACACAATCTCAAATCTTTGGTTCTACAACATGTTTGGAAATATATATTGTGCGCGTGAAGGCATGGTATGAGACTCATGACATGGCGGCTGAGCAAGCCCTCTTCTTCATTCTATGATTCATTTTGGTCCCACCAATTGCAAATGGAGCGACCATGGAGGGCCTGGTGGGGCCAACATGCCCTGAAATTGAAATACATGGAGGGCCTAGGCAGTGGGGGAGCCAACCAAGTGTGCCAAGGAGTTGGGACACATGGTTGATGATGTGTAGCTTTGTAGGGTCTTTCATGGTGGTTGTCGGGGGGTGCACAGGGCCGATGACTGGGACCAATTATATATAGGATTTGAGATGTTGCTATACATGATTTCATTGATTTGGGTTGGAGGAGAGATAAAATACTGCATTCTACAATGAGTGTATGTACATGTTTTGTATCCTTTGCTTGTGTTCTTGTATACTTGAGTCCAAGCTTATATTGTACTAGATTTAAGCTTCCATTTAGTTATCTTACCACTGTAGAGTTTAAACCTCCAACCCTATGGATCAAACAAAAGCTCATACTCAAACCTAAAATGTTTGACTCCAACTAAACTATAAAATAATGTCATTTTAGACACAAGTATCATATTAGCACTGAAAGTGTAAATTTATGTTTGAAAGTACTTATGAAATGGCTAAAAGTACTTCCTGACAATCAAAAACATTTATAATATCGTTTAGTAGAAAAATTTATAAGTGATTCTGGGTCACAAATGCTCTTTCTAGAAAAGCACCTAGCAGGTGTGCTCATCTAGTAATCCAGGAAACACTAGGATTTTCAATAAATTTGTCGCCTTTCTTCTAACAGAAGCACTTAAAAAAAACACATATTTTCGAACGAGCCCTAAATGTAAGATTCCCAATGTGCTAATTATGCCATTAGTTATTGGGAGAACTTATGTTCACATCTACATCATTTTAGACTACCATTAGTTATCTTATCAATATAAACCCTAAAATCGTATACTTGCACATGTCATTATGAAACTAGTTATTGTGGGAGGAGCGTTACATACGTCCATTGTATTATTGGAACAAAACTCAGAAAAGAGCTTTTTGGGGAGGGAATAGAGTTTAAAAGGTGGGTTAGTGGGACCAAATGAGGATTATAGATAAAGTCTTTCAAAATGCCTTTCTTTGTCCCTTCAAATTACCGTTCTTTATTTTTATTTTTCTAAAGAATGAATTAGTCTCAAGTTGAAGTTAAAGAGAAAGATTTTGGTTCCAACTTTTCCTCATGTAAAAGGTGTTGGATAGGGGGACTTACTTTGTTGACACTTGATAGTTTGGTTTGGTTGAGACTTTTTAAGTAAGATTTGATTCTAACAAAGCTAAGTGGTTGACCATTTTTGTGGATGGTGATGTGTTGAGAGAGAGAGAGAGAGAGAGCGAGTAGGTCTGTTGGGGCTAAGCAGCAAGAAGATTGCGTGCAGAAGAAAGAGAGAGTGTGTGGTGTGGGCTTTGAGAGAGATAGTGTTTGAGTTTGGTGATGCGCGTGCAGCACAAAGAGGTGGGATTGTGGTCATAATGGGGGCTGCCAGCCACATCGATCTTTCATAAGATTTATTCATGACGCCATACACATCCTGCATCATTCCTCTTCTTAAAACAGAAAAATTTGATTCTAAACTCACATATTTCCATCATTGCTTTCCCAACCTTTCTAAATTCTTCAATTATATTTTTCACCTCTATACATACAGCTTAGTGCCCATCCTACAAAGGTTGCTTTTGTATTGATGTTTATCTTCCTTGTCATCTATGACAATATTCTATTATCAACCATGTTTAGTATCATATGTTATCAAACTGTCAATTTCAATTTTTCATCGAATAAAACTTTTGTTTGAACTTTGAGTGTGTGTAGACTAGAATCTAACAACATAACTCGTTAAACTACTTATTTCATCAACAGATAAAGATGAATGAGATTCGACCATAAAACCTCTTTTAAATAAGGAAGATATTACCAGACAATGTTCTTGATGTGCCTATAATCCTAACCCTAAAACCTATTTGAGGAGAAGCTTCTTCATAGCTAGTTCATGATTTGGAATTATTGATATATAATCTTCAGTAATAGTCTTGAATTAAAAGCCAAGGAGAACCAGAAATGTGATGGAGGAAGTAGTCTGTGCTGGCTGGCTATGAAACTTCCTTGGAAAGCCCACAAAGCACTAATTACCCCCTTTTCCTTCAGAGTTACTGTTCCTCCCTTCAACTTTATGTCTGACCAAAATTAACAGGAAAATCATTGTATGGGAAAAATAATTTTTCTTTTTTGTCGGCAGTACTCTTGGTAGACGAATGAAATTATAAACCAACAAACTTATTTTGAATGTTGGGCTGTATGTCAGTTTGTAATGATAGGGGCCTCAGTTTTGCTAGATTTAGGCTAATCAAAGTTGAAATAAGTATTGATATTGCTAATCAAAGTGAGGCTAAACAAAGGATTAATGCTTTAATACCAATGCCATGGGATGGGAAGGATCCATTTATTTGAGGGGTAATTATAATAAGGAAAAACCAACTTGTTTGAAAATATCTATATAGAGTGAATATATCAGTCGAGACATGTATCGAGATCTCGTATTTTGCTTTCAACTCATGTCTTAACTTGATCTCGACTATGATACAATCTTGACATAACTTAGAAAAAGTTCGTTATCAAGCGTTTTAAAAAGAGTTTAGCTTTTAATTAACCTGTGTAAATGAGTTGTTTGTTTGAAGAAACCCTTCTAATTTGAAGGTGAAAATACAAAGATGATAATGCCACCGTAGATGGGTACATGAATTTGCATGGAGAATAAAAATGATGTGAGGAATGGGTTTTTGATTTAACGTACTGGTCTCCCCCTAATTCAAGGATATTCTCATTATTTTTCAGCCACGCCTGATTCCTTTTGTTTTTGGTTTTGTGAACGAAATTATTATTGTTTTTAACTTATAATATATTTTGGGCACGTCTACCTTTTGTTATCAGCAGCATCTGCTTGCTCAATCCTGCTCAGGAATTGGCAGCATTGTCCCTATCAACCCGTTGTTTGTTTTCATCTTATACTGTATTTTTCACCTTTCCATTTGCCACTACCTCCTCATATTCAAATTTGGAGTGCTCATATCAGAGGTCTTTTTATTAGAGTTCTCTACGGAGGTGGGTATTTGAACTCGAGTTAAAGAGGATGGACATACTGTATGATGTAAAACAGATGGCGGAAGCAATTGAAGAGGAGTTGGTAGACTGCAAATTTGGGCTTCGAGCTAGGAATCAGGCCCATGATCCGTCGATTCGAAGAGAACCGCGTCAGGAGTAAAACTCATCGCTTTACCATGACGTATGAGCTTTTTCGGGCATCCAAGATTGTTTAGTAGCCCGAAATCCAGTTTTAAAGTTTTTACAGTTTTTAGAAACTTTGTTATTATCCTATTTTAATTCCTTTGTTATTTCGAGGATTTCTAGGAGGATTTAAGCATACTTTACTGGTGGTTAGGGTTATGTTTTGTTATTCCAATTTTATCAATAAACCTTGAGATTTTCTCATATCTTCTTGGTTGATTCCAAAGTTACATGTTTTAGGATAAGGTTTAGCCAATCAATAATCACGCTGCATAAGTGCCTTAACAAACTGACATAACCCACATTTGTGTTTATAAAGCTTGCAAGAAAAAAAGCTATAAAAAGCAAATTGAGCTTAGCAGCAAGCAATAGTAATAATTATTATCATGCATGGGATAGGAACAAGAACATATCTATCTCTAGTCTATAATTATGTCTCTGTTTTATGAAGCTATGACTTAGATATAATTGCTTCAAATTGTGAATGCTGAATTTTGACCCATCCTATTTTGAATCTACACTCACAATTAACCCAATTAAAAGTTTCCCCCCCAAAAAAAACATATTTATTATCTTCATCAAAATTGGTCATGATATGGTCCTTGTACAACATTATTCACAATTCGCTGGCTAATCACAAGCTGCTTCTGAATAAGCAGAAACCAATTCATTTCCCCAGTTCTTAGCACAATCAATTCAATTTACCAGCTAGGACCTCCCCTGTTTTTTCTGCTGATTTCTTAGACAACAAGGGACACAGAGCAATGAAAACTATGGATTCTGCCACAGCAAAAGACCATGCAAAATCAAAATGGTCAAGAAAACTGCAGACAAATTTTCTGCTACCAAATCAACATGTGAGATATTAAAAACCAATTCATTTGATCAAATATGTTTTTGTGAATGTATAATCCAAATGGATTTGAAATAAAGTGGAAACAAGAAATCATTTACTGGCCATGCATAGTTGGATTTGCAACCACTTATGGGAGAGAACAGTGACTGTCTGCTGACTGCAAGTAAGTGGAGAAGTGCAGGGTTGTGAGAATTCACAAAAAAACAGAACAAAAATCTAAAGGAAATTAAAAAAAAATAGGCGTGGGCATAAATTCCGTTGCCTGTTGTACCTGTCTGTGCTGTGCTGTACTGTGGAGAAAGATTTTTGCACAGAAAAAATAAAAATGGCAAGGCAAGGCATTTCAATATCATCATCCTTATTCACTTCATAATGCCTGCAATCATGATTCTTGGTTGCCTCACCCGCATGCCCCTCTAACCTCACTACCCCTAGCTAACTTCTCCAATCTCCATCCATCCCACTCTCTCTCTCTCTCCTTTCTCACTCTCTCACTCCTCACACCCACCTACCTATAAATTCCACACACCCCACCTCTCTCTCTCATCTCTCAATTCCTCACAAACTTCTCTCACTCCACAAACCCTTCTCTCAATCCACAAACTCTTCTCTCTTTCCATTTTTCTCTATCCTACTAGCTTTTGCTACTTCTATCCACTTGTTCATTCATTTGGGTACTTTCATTTTGGTGCTTTTTCAATTGGGTACTTGTTTGTTTCTGTGTCTGTGCGGCCAAAAAGAAAAGAAAAAAAAAAAAAACAAGCAACCCAAATGGCTGTGTCTGGTTTTGAAGGGTTTGAGAAGCGCTTGGAGCTACACTTCTTTGGGGATGACCCTAAAAATATGGGCACTCTTGGGCTTGGCCTAAGGCTTCTTGACTTTGACTCCATCCAAGAAGTCCTGGATGAGGTCCAATGCACCGTGGTCTCGGCCGTAGCCAATCACTACTTCGATGCCTACGTGTTATCCGAGTCCAGCCTCTTCGTCTACCCTACCAAGATCATCATCAAGACCTGTGGGACCACCCAGCTCCTCAAATCCATCCCTCCCCTCCTCCGCCACGCGTCGATCGATCTCGGGCTCACCCTCTCCTCCTGTCGCTACACCCGCGGGAACTTTATCTTCCCCAGAGCCCAGCCTTTTCCTACACCAACTTCCAAAACGAGGTCGTTTACTTGGAAGAGTCTCTCCCCGCTGCTCTCTGCTACCGCAAGGCCTCCGTCATGCCCTCCAAAACCCCCTCGCACGCCTGGCACGTGTTCTCTGCGTCCACCCAGAACACGACGTGTCGTTTCGGAGACAGCGACGACGACGATTTGTACACCCTCGAAATCTGCATGACCGAGCTCGACCGCAACCTCGCCCGCAACTTCTTCCGCCGTCCCGGCGACGACAAGAACGGCGATTCCGCCGGCAAAGAGATGACGGAGCTCACGGGGATTTCCCAAATTAACCCTAGGGCTCTGATCTGCGACTTCGCATTCGACCCGTGCGGCTACTCCATGAACGGGATCGACGGCGATCGCCACTCCACGATCCACGTCACCCCGGAAGACGGCTACAGCTACGCGAGCTTCGAGTGCGTCGGGTCGGTCTACGACGACCGCGAAGACGTCGTTCGGATGCTGAAGAAGGTCGTCCAGGTCTTCCGGCCGGCGACAATGTCCGTGTCGACCACTTGCGCGAGCTACGAGGTGTGGACACGTGTCGCGGGGGCATTGGAGCCGCTGGGGTTCAAGTGCCGGAGCTGCGCCGCAGATGAGTTCCCGGCTGCCGGAACCGTCGTGTATCAAACGTTCGTGGATCGCCGGAGTAATAATTACAATAATAAATCGTAATTAAGTGGGGTTTTAAAATTTTAATTAGAAATTAGGTGAAAATTTTAGAGGGATCGGACGGCGGAGGTGCGAGAAGAAGAAGACGATGATCAAAATGTAGAAAGAGAAAAGTGGGGATGTGGTGGGGATAAGTAGTAGAGATGATGTGGAAGCATTGGATGAAAAAGGGGGGTTTGTTACTACTTGGGGTTGGGGGGTATGATAAGTAAGAGGTAGCATGATGATAATGCACCCCACTTAGGCATGTCACGCCTAAGATTTTGAGGTTTGTGGTGGTAGTAGTGGTAGTGGGGATTAAAAGTGCTTCTTTGTTGAGAGGTTTACTTGGAAGTTTTCTTTCTTCTATTCTCATCTCTTATTCTATTCATTTTCTTTCATTTCCTACTTCCTTTTGGGGATTTTTTTTCTTCTTCCATTTTCTTTGCCCTTCATTCCCTTCCCTTGTCTCCTTGTCTCTTTGTCCATGTGTTTTGTTGCTAATTAGTTCATCAAAGAACAAATCCCTTTTTACGTGTCGAATATAAGTGCGGACTCGTGAATTTCGACAAGTGTACGGTGCAAACATTTGAGCCTAAACAGGCATGTTAAATATCGAATCATCTTCTTATGTTTTAAACCTTAAATTTCATTCAACTCTTTAATATGAAGTTTACTCAATCTTGTACAACTTGGATCCTAAAGACTAACATAGTTTGGACCATAAAACAACGTCATGCTAGAAAAATCCATTGAAATCTCCTTTATGTTTTGAATGCGTGGAGTGTCAAGCGTGGTTTGCATGCATGGGGTTGGATAAACTTTTCATGAACAAAATAATTCCTCCTTCATGATAATGCGCAATGGGGAATGAAGTCACGACCCCTCACTATGATGTCATCCAATAGTTCTTTGTCGCATGTCCATACAAAACAATAATAATTATTGTTTTCTTTATTTTTTGAAATTCTTCCTTTTTAGCTTTCACGTTTTAGAAAACATATATAATTTGCACGTGATAATTATTAAGTTTATGAAGGTGTCGGAGCCATGAAATAGCTACAGGTAGAAAGGTGTGGAATATGCTATAATTACTCACGACCAGTCGTTCTTTGGTGAGGATGTCATATATAGATCATAGATGTAAACCTTCATATTAGTTATATGATTCATCTGAATAATAATTTCAGATAAGTTTAATGAAATGATCATGTGGCTAATATGAAGGTCCGCATTTGGAGTCCATATATGACACTCTCACTATTGAATTTCGCAATTACTCACTGGGTTCGTATGATATGAAATTATTGCATACAGACAAGGGTTAAAAGTTTCTTCTGTCTTAAAATGGGTCCATTATCAATTTACCTTTTTTTTTTGGCAACTGGCCTTGCTTGTGCTTCATATACGTACATTCGTGTACCAAATAAATTGATGAAATGTTGTAAATGGGTAATACTTTTTACAAGCCATTGCCCATTTCATCACAAAGGCCCAATTCTAACTGAGAGTTTTTGGGCTGGACTAAATGGTAGATTCAACTCAAGTGTGTTGTTGTTCATTCTACCCTTTAAATCAACATCCTGCTTTTTGCAGGACATGAGACAGTCGGATGATCCGATTGTGTAAAATCGGTGTTCGACTGTCTTACGTCTTGCAAGACAGGATCCCATCTAAGAAGTGGCATGTTTGTTTTACCTTATCTTCAACAAACGTAGTCTTGCCATATATGAATTGAGGGGTTGTGTATATAATAAATACTTATGCTGACAGACTATGAATGTGAAACATGTTTTCGTGTAAAATTCAGCTTTATTCATTGTCCAACTTCATATGATTCAGCTTTATTCATTGTCCAAATTCATAGTTTGGCAGAAAGAAAATATATATAAAGATGATTAATTAACCACGGAAGAAGAAACTTATCCCATCAACTTTTAGAGTTTTTTAATATCAAAAGCTGAGATTGTGATGGAGAAAAAGCTAGACATCGAAAGCTCATAAGAATGACAGAATCTAGTGGGACTCTTTATGGGTCATGCGACATGCGTTTGGTCCCCCAATCATCTTGAAAATTGAAATGAATTTCTACCCAACCCAACCCAACCCAACCCAACCCAAAAAGCAATTTTGGAATTTTCCTTGGCAACAAGGTTCAAGGTCTTCCTCACAAGTCACAGCGGCACCTGGCTGTCCATCTTGATTAGTATTCTCATATGAATTGAAGAAGAAACTTCCAATTTAAACAGATAAAGACGATGCTAAAAGGATATGCAATTACTAAACAGGTTTGGGGATAGCACCACATATTGGAACTTTGACTTTCAATAAAAGAAGTCAATATTGACTGCAATAAATAAATAAAAACCTTAAATTCGAGATATTGTCTTAAACATGCGTAATACGTTTTTTTTTTCACACAAGCGATATTGGAGAAAAGAGAATCCAAAACCAGAACTTAAGGTGCAAAGTTAACTGCGCTTGGTACAAAGTCATTGCTAAATATGAAATGGGTGATGAAATCAGATTTTTCTTTCGTTTTCCCCTTTTCTTTTCTTTTCTTTCCGCAAAGCAACCTACCCTTTCTTTAAACCTTTTTCTTGGTTAGCTCCTCCCTCACCTTTGCGAAGATTATTCCATGCCAGAACCCCACGTGTTGGCGTTAGTGCTTGCTTGATGCATTGCGTCTGATAACGTTTGCTTTCCGTTGATTTATTCCAAATTTTAAACTCAATTAAATCGCATTTTTGAATTTGGTGGTTTGCACAAGGCAAGAATTTATTAGGCTGCAATTTTAACGACTCAAATTCAAATTCGGTATTTATTTTATTTTATTGAAGAATATATTTTGTTAGATAAATTCAAACAAATACAACCAAAATGTGTGCAAGACGGCAAATTGTTTTAAAATAATTGCAAGCATTGGAACAAAAATTCTTTGCTTAGCATAACAATGTATTAACAAATACTATTTGAATTCTGAATTGAAAAAAAAAATGTGTATTTTATGCATTAAATTACAAAAAAGGTCAGTAGCTTTACCTTACATGGTTTGGCGATTTCTTGGAACATGGGTTTCTTTCACACACACTAACCCACCCATGCACACATAGAATCTCATTCTTCTCTCTCTCTCTCTCCCCTTATCTCTCTCTTGAAAGAAACCCCATTTCGTCACCATTTTGCAGAGTCACAGACACAGACCCCATCTTATTTGGACTGTTGCTTTCTTAGGGTTTCGCATTCTTGAATCTTAAAAAAAAAAAAACTCTGTTCTCTTCTTGAGCCCTGATCTTGTGCCCTCAAAAGAAAGTAGAATTTGTTTTTTTCTTCTCTGAAAACCTCACGTTCTGCTGTGTGTCAAGCCCCATTGCGTTGTGTGTGTTGTGATCAAAGAAAGACCAAAAAGTTTTAACCTTTTTAACTTTATTCCTTTGGTCATTTGGGTTTGTGCTTTAGGGTTTTGTGTTGAATATCGTTTCTTGGTGGTGACGAGATTTGTTCTTTTCTGAGGAGAATTTTCCCGGAAAACCCTCTTTCTTTGAGGGTGGAAAAGGATACACTCATGCAATTATCGTCTGGGAAACTTAATCCTCTGTAGTCGCAGCTCACAAGGTTCCATTTCTTAGTTCATTTTGCTTTTAGGGTTTTGTTCATTGTGCCTCAATTCCGGTTCTGAATCATGAGCTGTGCAGAGAATCATCACTTCCAGCGCCACAATGTCGAAATTCAAGGATACCCATTTCACCATTCCCACCAAGAATTGCATTTCAGTAGCTCTCTGCTCTTGACCACGCTCGGTTTCTTTTAGGCATTTTCTGAAACACCTGGGCTGCAATTGAACTGGAATTGAATTTCTTGGTTCTGTCTCTCTCATTTCTCTCCCTTTTAGGAGCCATGGGTTGTGTCCATGGCAAGTGTTGCGGTCGTTACCCCCAGTCTTCCGATGGTGATCTCCGGGACTTCAGAGACGCTGGTCCGTACAGTGCGCAAAGGAAGCACATACTCTCAGAGAGGTCATTGGAGCTCGTCCCTGTTCCTTCACATGACTTCCGTTTGGAGTATTCTCTGCTAACGCAGCGTGGTTACTATCCCGACTCTCCGGATAAGGAAAACCAGGACAGTTTCTGTGTTAGAACGCAAGTCAGAGGTAACCCAAATGTCCATTTCTTTGGTGTGTTTGATGGGCATGGCCAATTTGGTACCCAGTGTTCTAATTTTGTTAAGGACAGGCTAGTAGAGATATTAGCAAATGATCCCACATTGTCAGCTGACCCTGTGAAAGCTTATAATTCTGCCTTTTTGACGACGAATTATGAGTTGCATAATAGTGACATTGATGATACTATGAGTGGAACCACGGCAATTACTGTGCTTGTTATTGGGAATACCCTTTATGTTGCGAATGTGGGTGATTCGAGAGCTGTGGTTGCAGTGAAAGATGGTAATAGAATTATTGCAGAGGACTTGTCTTATGACCAAACACCATTTAGGAAAGACGAGTATGGGAGAGTGAAGCTTTGTGGGGCCAGGGTTTTGAGTGTTGATCAAGTGGAAGGGCTGAAGGATCCGGATATCCAGACCTGGGGTGATGAAGAGAGTGAAGGTGGTGATCCTCCCAGGCTGTGGGTTCAAAATGGGATGTATCCTGGGACTGCGTTTACAAGGAGTGTAGGTGATAGTACAGCTGAGAAGATTGGTGTTGTTGCAACTCCAGAGGTGTCAGTGCTTCAGCTGACACCTAATCATCTCTTCTTTGTTGTCGCAAGTGATGGGGTTTTTGAGTTCCTCTCTAGCCAAGCCGTGGTTAATATGGTATACTCACATGACCCGTTATAGAATGCAATAAAGATCTACTTATCTTCTTTTTAAGTGTATCAACTTTTTATTTATTGATAACTTAGTTTGTCTTCATTTAGGCATTGATTTTGTTTTTGGCCTATTGTAGTTGAATTCCTGATTATGCGAATACCATGATCTCTTGCTGCTTTTAGTATTTTACTTTAGTTCATTGTTTTTAGAGTTTTGTAAATTTGATTGCTACACATTATCAATACCGAGGCAAATGGTTGTTTGTATATACTCATGTTCATATGTGGTTATGATCAATTATGATTAGATAGCTCTATAAATGCAAAAAAAGTATGGAAGAAACTTATATTGCCATCAGATAGTAACTTTTTATTTGGCATCTTAGGTATGTTGACAAGGCTATTATTTCATTGATATATCTATGGTGTTTATTGAGTCTGATCTCCAGATAGGCTGCGGTTTAGGCTTCTCATTTAGCATCATCATTAATGCTCTGCTCTGCTGTCATATTTGTACAGTAAGAATATAAAAAAGCAGCAATTGCTTGTACTCTCTAGCATCTGTAACTGTTAGGTCTTCTGATCTTTTACAGTTTATAGCTTACTAGCAGTTAGCATTTGAGGTAGTTGCTTTATTGTGTCCATATCTCATCTTATTACTCTGCATTCACTTCTACTTGGGTAATTGACTAATCTATTGATGGATTTAATCATGCCTGCATATTTGTGAGTTTCTTTATATGTGTAACTGGTTAGCATTGCCTTGGCTTCTTGTTTATTTCTTTATTCTTTCATAATCCACCGAAAGAATAAACATGTCGAACAATTTCTTCTCTTTATTAGTTTTTATTTCTGTTTCCATTCTTCCTGCTTATGAATTTCCAAGCACCATTCTTCATACAGGCGGCAAAATATTCAGATCCTCGGGATGCATGTGCTGCCATTGCTGGAGAATCATACAAATTATGGTTGGAGCATGAAAACCGGACGGATGATATAACAATTATCATTGTTCACATCAAAGGCTTGTCTAATGTATGAATTATGTAAACTTTCTGGATTTTTTACTATTTGTTTTTCCATCTTTCTTTAGGCCGAGCCCAATGTCCCTCTGATAAGAACTTCTGTCAGTCACTACAGTGGTATATGGTAAATGTTCTTGGAAGTGGGGTATGTTTTACCGAGAGGGAATTTCAGTGGGCATGTTACAAGTTATACTTTGTTTGAGTAAAATCACCAGTGTACTAGTGGTTAAAGAATATTATTTCTGTTGTTTGACTTCTATAATAAAATTGGGCTTTTTAAATGCTAAATTTCTAGTCATATGATGTAGCAGGGAGACACGACATAGGATTACATATTCCCCATGTCCAGGACAAAGGATTAAATTTACAAGTTGACTGACTTCTTGATATTATCTGCATTTTGAAGGAATAGATAAACTACTCATTGCTATCCTGCTGCTTCTTCCTTTGCAAATGACACATACAGAATCCAATATTAGCTTTAGAGGGCATTGTTTTCCTATATACAATCTCTATTCATTGGCTTATTTACCAACTTTTTATTGTGTGTCCCACAGTCAGGTGGTGGTGTTACTGATGGAACAAGTGGGACAAATAATAGACCAGCAACAAGGCTGAGAAAAGTTTCTGAATCATCTGTTACCACTGGGTCAGAAGTTTTCCTTTCAGTGAGAAGTGATTCCTCAGAAGTACAGTCTTGTCAGCTTGTGCTTTCGATGAATCGGAGCCCAGCTATTGTTGTTCCGTCGCCTGCATGTCAGAGCCCTTGGAGTTGGTAGGTCTTTTAAGCTGTTTTATATCATTTTGTGACTATTATGCTATCAGCTAAGCATTTACTTTTCCTCCATTGACTGCAGTGATTGAACTGGAAGGCCTTACTGAAGCTGCCACACATCTCGTTATTTTTCTTTAGTGGTATTTCTCCGCTTGATGTTGCCTTTAATCTTCCGTGTCAAATAGAATCCCCATCAAGTGTCTGCCTGGAGGACACTTTCTTTTTTCTCTCATCAAATTTGATCATAGAAATTTTTTTTGTTTGGAGAGCCAGTATTTAACCGATGCCTTCGTTGAAATACCCGACTCAAATTTTACTGATTGCAGGATGTGGGTTAGTGGTGCATCCAGTGATTAGCAGAAGCAGTCGGTTCTGCATACATATATATGAAGATGTTCCTGAACGCTAATCTCTAGGTTCCCTTGCTAATCTCACTAATGACAGTTTCTGACCATATTGTATGCCTGGAGAACATTCCTTCAGCTGTAACCTTTGCATCTGCTAATCCAAGCAATGGAGAGGAGGAGATGAAATGAAAGTAGGAGGTTCCTTTACACGGAATTCATGGTCGAACCCTTCATGTACTTAATCGTTTACAATTTTTAGCTTCGGTTGTGATTCTTCATCTCTTAAAACTTAAAGATGATCAGTAGATATAATATATTGTGTATGTTACTCTCACTTCTCTATCTGTAAATGATTTCCTCTTCATATAAATTGCATTTTTAACTGCTTTAGGTTAAGGATGTAAACCCTGCAATCAGCAATGAAGAGGTTGCTATATTGATGCAGTGACAATAACACCTGCTGTTTAATTTTGTTAAAGATCAGAAAGAGGTGATGTTATTGGATGATGAATTTGAGCAATAATGTTGGCAGGCAGTTTGGTTCAATAATGTTGAGGTAGTAGATTGTCATGGAATGTGACCTTTCTTGATTGTTGTTTCCTCATTAAGTGACAAAACCCCGAATCGAGAGTGGCCTACATATATATGTCTTCACCTTTCTTAGCAACCTCGTGTCTTATCCAAACAATGACTACTTTGTCCACAAGTTAGGGTAGGGGCAACAGTGCCAGCCAATTACTGGAAAACAAGTGCTCTATGATGGTGCCGTGCTTGCTTCACCTCCTTTTTGGGGACCATGCGTTGGCCAAAGGAAGAAAAAGAGTAAAGGAAGTGTGCATGCAGATGGGAAAAAATAATGAGTGCTAGGGTGAGTCGCGATGCAATCTCAGCTGTTCATGAGTGATGGTTTTGATGTGGGGTCTATAACTATCAATGGCTGAGATCAGATTGAGCGTAGGCGGCATTCGTAATCATCTTGCAACTGATGCTAGCATCTTCCAAAAAAGAATAGAAATTTGGTCAATGGCTAAAGGGCATGCATGCTGTCTAAGTTTTTCATACCAGTCCTGAGCTTCAAAATCCCCCTCAGGATCATAAAACGCGGGATATGGTATGGGTCATCTGGCATGATTTAGCAATGCTTGACATTTTAATCTTTGAACTTTTAACTTGTTTGTAGATTACGTCAAATAGAGGGAACTCAAACCGTGATTAAAAGTCTAGCAATACCAAGTCAAATAGAAATGTCAAACGCTCATAAGATGAGGAAATGGCATTGGAAATTAACGACGACGCTAGAATCAGAAAAGGTAGGTTTGAAAATACTTTCTCACTTATCAAGAATTAATCTATTCTTAGAGCATCCCTAATGATGCTCTCTATTTCTTAGCTAAAATTTGGCTAAGAATATAGGAAAGTTATTTTAGCTCTCTAAAAAATTTCAACTCCAACCATACTCCCTAATTTGGAGTCATAAATGCTATAACTCTTTTTTGATTGGTCCATCTCTATTAAAAAATACAATAAAAAATAGTTAGCATTAAATAAAAGTTTGAAATACTCATTTAATAAAACAACATTAAATTATAGGGAGCCACTAGGAGTCCTTTCTCTCTCCTCAGATTTAGGAGCTCCTAAAAAACTCCATATTTTAGGAGGTGGATAGAGAACGTGGTTGGAGTTATATTTTTATCATTCCTCCCTAAAATTTGTCTAAGAAAGTGGTTTAGGGAGCCCATTGTAAATGCGCTTAATGTCATCCAGTTTGAAGCTTAACCCTGAAACTCGTTTGACAGATGCAAGGCAGCTTTTACTTCAAATTTCTATTGTTACAGTTGTACAAAATTCTTACGAAAAAAAATTACTAGTACAAAATTCTTACGAAAAAAAATTACTAGTACAAAATTATTAGCAGATCAGAAATAAATGGACAGCTTCTCGTGTATCACATTCTGTAATATGTTACACTGTTCTAACAACATGCTTAATTTTTCAGCTCCCTTTGTTACTTCTCCAGCCATCATTATTTCTCTGCCAGCATTCTCTAGTGTCCCATTTACGCGAGATGCATCATCTACCCTTGCTTGATCATCATGCATTAAACGTCTTTCATCCTCCATCTCCATCAAGTCATTTGTGTTAGGGGTCTCATGAATTTCACCATTGGAAGATGTTTCAGGAAGAGTTCGATCAGCTTCTAGCAAAGCCTGATCTCTATGGGACAAAAGAGGGCTATAGCTAACTGCAATGACTTCATCCAGAGATGGCTGATCAAGATAATAAGGTGAAGGTCCGCTATCTTCAAGCCCCATCTTACCAAGGTTTCCAAAAGCTGTGTTAAGATGAGGACAGTCCAAGATATAAGCTGATGAAAAGGTACCACTGGCTAAACCCATTAACCGCCAGTTGAAGATTCGTCTGAAAATCATAACCCAATTCGGAACAATGTAGCAGCACGAGTCATCGCGCTCAAGTCGACAACTTCTTTGCAACATTACATGTGCCTCTTTCATAGCAAGTGCAAGCCCCATCAACTTACTTGAATGTGTCAGGTATTCGATTAAGCCATTTTCAAGTTCAATTCTCAGGTTTTCAATCTCCTCTCCAGCATTACAACATCTGGGCAACCACGAAATATTGTCAGGAAAATCTGGAAGCCTAGAATCACCTAGAGCTGAAATTAATGGTTCAACTTTTTGCACTGCGCTCCATCCTATGCTTGGCAAGTACCACTTCACAACCCTGTACTCATCACTAAACTCCTCGAGTAAAGCAATCTCAGGGGAAGGCCAACTGCAAGGATTTTCCTGGACAGCAGCAGAAATTTCCTTCTGTGACCGACCCAAGGCTTCATTGAAGGCAAGGATACAGTTGTCTGGACCTACTTCATAATCTTTCATTTTGTCTAGTGAATCCAACGAAGAATTCAAGTGGCTAAGAATGAGTTCACGTGTTTTTACATGATGAAGAATGGGTTGAAGAGGTGATTCACTTGCAAGCCATCTGAGCCCCTCCCTAAGTCGCCTGTCGCTGAAAAACCCATCCACTTGTTCTGTTTGCTGGTTTTCAACAAGGGGAACAACTAGAAAGCTGCTTATTCGTGACTTATCCAAGTCATGGAGACCCAAATTATCAACAACACTGGAAGAAGGATCTGCAATGTCGTTGTATGAGCCGCTTAAGATCAGAAGGGGCAAGCAGGAACCATAAGGTATTGACGTCAGAAGGTTATGGAGCTGGATTTTTTGCAATTTCCAAGGGAGGCTTTCAGATGTAAGGAACAAAATAGCACTTGCACCAGATACAGTTTCAATTAGATTATCAAAATTTGCATCCTTAACCACAGACAAATAGCAGGTCATATCTGAACCAGATTGGCCAGGAATCCATTTCTTCCATATTGACACACCAGGAGATGAAATTATGAGATCATCATCATCGTCGTCCACATCATTTTCCAAAGGCATGAGCTTTGAAAGCAACCATGGGGCTGCTCCCAAGACATGGCTCCTCTGTCCCAGTTCACCTTCCAGATTGTTCATCTGGGAACATACAACAGTTTTCCAACAGAGGCATCTAGCGTCTGGGTTTCTTCTCCCTAGTATATCCGCTATTACATCTGAAACATTAAGTCTTGACCATGATTTTCCTTGCTTTTTATATCTCTCCCTCAAAATGAGATCAATGTCAAACTCACCAGATGTGCTCAGTTGCTACAAAACAGAAAATAAAAAGATGTCAAGGCTGAGATAAATCATCAGTTAGATTTCTTTCCTACACTATGTTCCAATAGATGTAAACACAATTCTTCTAGGTAAACAAGCAAAAATAAAAACTGCACACATTTAATGATGGAAGATTGGGTAACTGAGTAAGACATTTGGGATGAAAAGGAAGGGGTTCAAGTAGGTAACTTTTCTATAATTCTTAGCCACGTGTTACACTATTTTGTGAAGATGGAGAGATGCACAAGTGAAATCTCCTCATTTCTATTTGAGATGAAAAAGAACCCAAAAAATTGAGGCGTGAACAAGAAAATCAAAATACTTTTTCTTTATTTGATAAGAAAAAATGGTTTATTAAGTGATGAGAAAAGTACATCAGTGGACAAGAAGTGTAAGACAACAGTATAAAAAGAAACAAAAAGAAACAATCTCTAAAGAGCCACAAATTTTTATCATCCTTCCCCAACAAAATCATTGAAGCATGCTTGATTACACATCAATAATCACCTAACTACAGCTTCACAATCAGCATCAACAAGACAAACTTGCAGAACAAAGGCAGACAGGTAAACCTCTAGTTTCAAAAAATTGAAAAAGCTTACATCTGTCTTGAGTTGAACTGGTGGCCCCAATGATAAAGAATTCAATGCAGCATTTGCTGCTAACTGCTTTTGCTCTCGCAGTTCCCTTAGCTTCAGAGAACGCCGCTTCCATAACCTGGTGAGAAAAAAAGTGGGAACATGAAGGGACATGATAAAAATAGCCTCAACATCCAGCAAGAGAAGTACAAGAAGCTAAAGTACCTTAGTATCAACTTGAGTTTTGCCTCAGCAATTTCTTCATGTTGATCAGTTGCCATATCATCAATATTTTCATCTTCCTGATCAAGATCTGGAGGTTCCTCATCTTCCACCTTATTAATGACCGGAATTTTTCTGATTGGATGTTCCACACCGTAACTATATGTATCAACTGGAGATCTGTCTTGCAGAGCTGTTTTTGACTCAATATGCAATGGCATTCCTTCCATGCCAGAATGCATGCTTTTCTCTGGAGAGTTACTGAAAAGAGAATCATAGTTCGGCTTCTCCATTGTACCAACTTTATCAGGCTGGGGTTTAAATGATGAGAAAGCCCATGGGGAAGGAGGGACAGCAGCCATCTGTTGGGGATGTTCAGTGTATTGACAAAGAATTGGTGTTTGAATTGTTTGCTGCTTTTGTCTGTAAACTTCTGGAGATGAAAAAATAGGTGTTTGAATCATTTGCTGCTTTTGTCTGACATCTTTTGGGGATGAAACAGCTTCAAAATTAGGCATTTCTTCATCAACTTCATGGAAGGATTTTATTACTCCAACCGCTGGGACATCATGGACAGGACTTTTCCTTTCAGCATATGAAACAGTTTTTGGTTCAGGCTTATTTTTCTTAATAAGCTGAATCTCATTTGTTGCTTCAGTCGACAAGGATATGAGTTGAGTAGAAGTCAAAAGATCCTTGATTATGCTTCTTGACTTTTTCATATCAACAAGCTTAGAACACTTGGTAGGATAGTCCTCATCACTATTGAGAAATGGGCCCTCCTTCACCATATATGGCTCTCGAAAGGACTTTATTACAAACCCATGATACTCTGAAAGGCTTTCAATTTCCTCTTCCTAATGTCAATCATCAAAGCACAAGCATAAGATAAAATGAAACAGTTCCTCTTTCCCCCAGAGGGTGCAAAATGGAATTCTCATCAAACCAAAGAAAGGTACCTCCAATGCTAGCCACTTGGCAATATCGGAAATAGG